AGAATTTCAAAAATTGGGCTCTGGCACGATCTAGCCCTGAGTGTACTCAACAATTTAAAAACCATCCGACATACTTAGCACATATTCTCATTTTGAAAAACCTGCCCGCGTAAAGGGCATTTTTGACCAATGAATTCACTATAACTCTTGAATGTCTTGTAGATTTGTGGAGATATTTTAACTGTAATCTATTCTAGCTAAGGCTAACATTCTCTGACATTTTGGCTAAAATCGGATGAAGAATAAAAAAGTTTGCTTCTGAGGAGCGTCCCCCTTAATAGAAAAATATTTATTAAATTTAGATTCTTAAATTGTCTTATGATGTTTCCTTTTATTCTTTTAATACTTGTAGTAGTGTCAAACTTGAAACTTGAATTCAATTATTGAGCATTAGTTGAAGTTAGAGCTGCCAGATTGGCAGGCTAGGCCAGGCTAAATTTCTTACTCTAGGTATGATTTAATACTAACATTTACAGTATTCAACTCTAAGAATGAGACGACTTCACGGGTTAATGATGATTGGTTTTGATATTTTCTGTTGGCCATCAATTCAAATCAATATTTTTATACGTTTTATTAGGTCTTTTGACTGTATTTGTTACTATTAACTTTTCATTTCTTTGACATTCAGAATTTTTCAATGTCTTTTTTGAATTTCATCCTTTGATGATACGCAGTTATTATTATTTCTAGTTTTTTTTGTGTCACAACTATTTAAAATGCTTCTTACTGGTTCCATCTTATACTAAGGAAGACCGCGCTACTCAGTTAAAGAGTTTCATGATTCCAAGAGCTACTCTAAACTAGAATCGAATTTAGAGTTTCATTTAATGAAAATGCTAGAGAATCAGGTCCTGCCCACTTGTAAAATTATCGTGTGAATAAATGTCATTAAACTGTAAGATTAGTAGAGAGTTTTAAGCAAATTTTGAGGAGTTCTGATTCGTACGTATTTAAGATTGAAGATACCTTAATTATCAGTAATTACTTATGATAATCGATATTTTCCATATCTAGTTATAACTTTATTGCAAAAAAATCAAAATGTCTGCGTATAAATTCCTAGTTGTCAACATATACTTGATTGGCTACATGTTCGAAAGTGTTTCATTTCAGAACTCAGGCCCATGTTCCTGTGTCAAAGATTTTCATAAAGCTGATCTTAAAATTGATTCATGATTGCTCTTAGTTGAGAATTGGCATACTACATTCTATTGCTCTCATGAGAGCAAATCAAATGACTAATTGAAATTTATACATTGAATTAATGCTAATTTGTAAATTTCATAATTATGAAAAGGTTTGAATCCAAGGGGGAACAAACTGATTTCTATGCTAGAAATCACTTTAAAACCTTAATGATACGAATAATGAGTGCGGATGGTTAAAACTCTATCGGGAACCATCGAAAACCATTAGAAACCATGAGAAATCATTAGAAATCAACAGAAATTACTTTTAATTATGGAAAATCTTCACTAATACAATTAAAAATAGAGCTCTGATTTCTATTGATTTCCAATATTTTTTTTTTGATTTTCTTCATTTTGAATAGTTGTCAATATTCCGAGCAGTTACTCTTGATTTCTAATGACTTATTGTCATTTCCCTTCATTTCTAAGCATTTCCGATGATTCCTATTGCTTCACGGTGAACACTAAAAAACTGATTTCCAGTGATAGAAATCACCAGAAATCATCAGAAATCAATAGAAATCAAAGAAATCAAGAAATCAGTTTGTTCCCTCTTGTTTGGCCTATCGGCAGCTCTAGTTCAAGTTCAAGTATTCAAATTTTCAACGTTTCAATTATTCAAGTATTCACCTGAGCTACCATTCTGATAAGTGAACAATGATTTCTGAGGCACGAACACCAACCGAGCTGCGCTCCAAATGAGTGGACATCGACAGGATCAAGTTGAATACATGAACTAACATTCAATAATTGAATTCAAGTTTCAAGTATGACATATGTAAATTATAGGAATATTGTGATAGAATAGATTTAATTGCATACATACTAATGAAATATAACTATTGTTTTCGGAATTTCTTCGTTATTTTAATTAAAATAAATTATTTAGATTTGAATTAATTAATGAATGATAATTATATTACTGTTGTTGAATTTCAACATATAGATGAATTATCTTATCCATTATATTCATTAGAATCCCTTATTCATTTTCTCGATTAATATTTTATGGAATCATTACCAGCTTAAATAAAGAAAATTAATTGAATGAAAATTTATTTTAAAATAAAACATTGTTTGAGATAATGATTATTTTCATGACATGAAACTTGACAGATCTTATCAAAATTCATCTAGTTTTCCGCATTGCATAGCATTGATCTCCATACACCGCCAATATTTAGCGTCATCGTTTCTCTATCGTAGAGGCTATATACAGTATGTGGACACCGTTTCTAGGAAACAGCGAAATAAGGAGAAAAGTATGAAACATGATGGACGCCACAAGCATTCCATAATGGCGGACAAATGGAATTGATCCGTGATAAAATATGGATCATCTATCCTTTAGAAACACTGAATCCTATTGGTCCGCCATTCTGGAATTCTCGTCGCGCCCATCATGTTTCATACTTTTCCCTAACTTCGCTGTCTCCTTTAATGATCCGGTTCCCATGTCCACCCGTACGCTATTGGTACCCGCATGCCTTGCTTTATGTGCTTGGTACGCGCATGCCATGCTTTATGTGCTCGGTACGCGTGTGGACACATGTACATGGGTGTCGGTTTGTACGCCACGCGTTTCGCTAACGACTCCTCATTATAAAGGCAAGCAACTATGTCATGATAGTATAGACAAAGCCTATGGATCGCTTTTGTATACTTTGAAAATTCGATTGTGAGGGATATATATTGTTTCGAATTTTTTTTTTGGATAAAGCAAATGGAAAACCCGTCTAGCACAAAATCGAAAGAAATTACTACCGTTCGTCGACTCATCTTGCAATTTATTTTCTCATATGTCATTCCAATAGTAAGTCATTTTTCCATGAATCAAAACGAATTTTCTTTGTTTATCATTTTTTTCTAGATTCTCATATGTTTATTTATATCATTCAAGGCTTTTCATTTTCAAGCTCGCGGGGACATATACATTTTTTGTTTAACCATGATTTATATGGCGATATGTTTATTATTTTCGATTGCAATGATAGCATGGCAATTGTATATAATTTTCTTATTTAAAAGAAGAAATATTGTTCATCGTCGAAATAACAAGTCTTTGTATAGTTCACTGGTAACGATACTTAGCTATTTCACACCACAGATATTTTTTCATTTTGATATAGGAATTACTTACTCGTGTAATAACACTTATTATAAATGTTGTAATTGCTCTAAATGAGATTAATGAAAACATGCCAATTGAATGTGTACGCATTGATAAAATGATATACAGCATATAAAGTACCAATAATTCGAAATTTGAGGAAACCTTTTGCCAATTTTTTTGACATACCTGGATCCAGCTCATCGAGTTGCCTATAAAATTGTTTTTTTTAATATCCGCAGTTTGATCTGCCTAGGATTTGAAAGATAAAATGATTAGACAATTGGATCTATCATGACTAGACTTATATATAGATACAATACGTAGAAGTCATTCTCTTAATTTGTATATCTCTGTCATAATGCACTGTAAAAACGAATCGCCTGAAGATTATGCGGGTCTAGCGATCACCTATTTTTCGATAATATATGAGTTTTAAACATTTTAATAATCTGAGTAACCGTCCTCCTGCGTAGATGTTTATAGAAAATGAGATAAAGCTATAGTAGTTCAGATGGAGCCGTATTTTTTTCTGCCAAATCTATTTTTCGCCCACTATACGTCTGACCAATACAAAAAATTGATTAAAAAACTGTTTCTCAAAAAGGATTTGGATACCCATGGATGTATCCTAGTTTGAATAATTTAATGGATGAATCTGTTTTAGGATATAAAAATGCGAATTTCAGTTATATGTATTGTTTTTAATTTTTATTCTTATATATTTTTAGCTCATCATGATTGGTCTCTTTGTAATATATTGTGTCGATTTGTGTTGCTATAAATTCACGAAGATCAACCTTAATACTCCAGCTCGAATCGTGGCTTCCAGCACTGATGTTAAAGATTCAATTCCTCGAGTTGATGCACATGACGAAGAAACCAATGTTCTAGTAGAAACTTCGCTTCAAACGATGACTGATATTGTTGGTGATTCTTCATCTTTTCAATTGGTTAGTTACCTTCGCTCGTCGTCTGAGCCAAATGTCATCATGGAAAGTAGTATTTAAAGATAATTATTTCTGATCAATCATCAACATTTACAATGACATGTCTTCAGTATAGTTTTTTCTTCACAGATCTTTCAATCTTTCATCTCTTTCATTATATGATTCATCTGTTATTTTCTCACATTTCATTCATCAGATAGTTTTACTATTTTTCTTTTTCAAAGGTCAGATATAATCTCGTCTTTGTATTTTTTTTAATTTTATATATTTGATCATTATTATTATATGCTACACAAGATCATCTTGATTCATTTTTCAGATATAACAATGCATCATCGTCACATCATATAATTCATTTACTCACTGTCACGCGTCTTCCAGTAGATCAAAGATAGGTTATAGCTTGATTAAGAACTTTTTTTCACCAGTAAAGAAAAATGTCCGCAAAATAGAATCGGGGGGGGGGGGGG